ACACTGGCGGTTCAAACTGCCAGCTTCTCCTCGAAAACCCTATACAGGGTCACTAAGAGTCAGAACTGACTCAGTGGCACTAACAACAACAACATGAGTCGGAACCAACTTGACAACACACAGCATCAGAAGAAGCATGTCATGCTTCTGAACACTTTGAAAGAATACGCTTTGAGATACATGATTCAAATTTTTCAGTGTCATAAACAGAAATGATCAACTTCATGTTACTCAATCAGCAGCTTGTGCTTCCAGTTCAATTGTATTCCATTCTGTTTGAAATTATTTAAAAGAGTGTGTTGTGGTCAGCGCCCACCTGGCCAGCTCTGACTCATGGCAGATAGGTAGCAGATAGGGCCATTAGGATCCATGAGGTTTTCACTAACCAACCACCAGGCCTAGCAACAAGAACCGCCACTGACAGATGTATACTGGCCAAGAACTGAACCCAGGACTCTGGCATGGAAGGCAAGAATTCTACCACTAATCCACCATAACTCCCTTCGAATGAAGAAGTCAGAAATAAAAGGTGTCTTTGTCACTCCAGGCTTAAGATGTTGACTCTTTGTGACTAAATTTATGTGACTAAAATGCCACATAAGCATTGGCTTATGAATTAGATCTTAACTGAAATAAAGGAATTTCTTTTCTAAGCATGGCTTAAAACAACAGTTATACAAGCCGGAGTTGACTATTCCCAATATATCCCATTATAAGCTACATTAGCTAAACATATCCATCCGTCCACTATAGCAGCTTTGTAATTTGAACAAACAGTCAGCTTTAACAGGATTTACATGCATCTGCATCGCTTCATTAATTGAATAATGTGTCAACCTAAAAAAAAAAATTGCGTCTTGTTATCTCAGAGAAATAAAATGCCCCCTGGGTAGAATGTTCCATCTTCTGAGATTCTCTTGGAATAGACAAGGGACTGCAGACTGGCATCTCATTTAAATTAGCTAGATTATTGTTCTAATTCATTGATTTTCTGGTTCAAGATGTACAGGGGAGGAGAGAGGGAAGCAGAGTAAACTCTAAACTAGGAAGCAACGAGAAATACCAGAGTGACTTAAAATGTTGTTAAATGCCCTCAAGTCAGTTCTGACTCATAGCAACCCAGTATAGGGTTTCCAAGAGGTGGCTGGTGGGTTTGAACCACTAATCTTGCAGTTAGTAGTCCAGTGCTTATCCTGAAGCATCATACCAGGATTTCTAATGTTGTTCTTGTTGTTAAGTGCCATCTAGTCGGTTCCACCCTGTATAGGGTTTCCTAGGAGCCGCGAATGAGGTAGAACCGCCGACCTTGCAGATCACACCAACTGGGAAGTCCAGTGCATTAACCCACAGCGCCATACCCACCGTGGTGCTGTATGATAAGCACTAGACTTCTAACCACAAGATTCAAACCCACCAGCTATTCCTTGTAAAACCTATATCGGGTTGCTATGAGTCAGAATTGACTCCATAGCACATAACAACAAGTGATAAACAAGGTCTGAGGTTCAAGTCTGCCAGCCGCTCGGCAGGAGAAAGATGAGACTTTCTGGTCCCATAAAGATTTAATGCTTCAGAAATCCCTGTACAGAGTCGCTATGAGTCAGAACCGACTCAACGGCACTTAACAACAAAAAAAATGATAAATCAGAGTCCTGGTATGGCGCTATAGGATAAGCATGGGCTTCTAACTACAAGGTTGGTGGTTCAAACCCACCAGCTGCTCCTTGGAAACCAAAAGACTGGCTGTTCAAATCCACTCAGGAGACACCTAGGAAGAAAGACATGGTGATCTGCTTCTAGAAGATCACAGCTATCGTAAACCGTTTGGAGAATAGATCTACTTGGACACACATAGACTTTCCATGAGTGGAATCAACTCAACACCAACCTGTTAGCGACAACCTACTGCTGTCCTGTCAATTCAAGGCTACAGGACAGAAGAGAGCCACTCCCTGGGGTTGCTGGGGCTGTAAATCTTTACGGGAGCAGACAGCCTCATCTTTCTCCCATGGATTAAGTGGTAGATTCGCACCTTGGAATCTCAAATCCTGTGCTTAGTAACCTGACACTTAACCCATGGCACTGCCAGGGCTCCTGGTTAGTGCTATATCAAGGGTAAGTTCTATACTTCTCATTTAGATACTTGAAAACCAAGTGAAGGAAACATGTGTTTCAAGAACACCACAGATCGCACAGCTCACTCCAAAATAAAGCTGAAATAGCAACTCTTCATCAGAAAACACTGAAACCTTTGTCAACACAGTGCAAATCAGACCAGTCTTTTTGAGTGATAAAACTGAGCCGTTTTCATAAGAAATGAACTTTCTGACTGGATCTAAAAAAGCTTTTTATGCCACTGCCACCACCCGCCACTACCAGAAACCAAGATAATTGCCATCTGGTGGTAGAGAAATTTTTGCAAGGTGTCTTTACCTGGCAGTCTCAGTGTAACTGAATGCCCCCTGAGCAGCACCAAGAGGGACTGTTACTATGCAAATAGTTACATTACAAAACCCGAGCCCAAGGAGTAGGGATAAACACAAAACAAATTAGAAGCCCTGGAGGAGGTTCCAATAGCCTCTTTCAAGAGTCTATTTTAAAAACAGTAACAGAATATTAACTGGAGTTGGTTCCAAAAATGACTCTCCTGCTGATAATTTCTCCATTCTCAAATATGCTCACCTTCACAAACCCTGCAGTCAAAGAAAGCATAACCCTAAAGTCTCACTGAAAAACAAAGGCTTCCAGAAAAGGAAGTGAATAGCCTAAACATAAAAGTATTGTTTTTAAGAGAAACACTGAAAAAGCAGAAGTCACAGTAAATTCAAAACATGAAGGAAAAAATGAAGCAAAGTTCCTAATTTTAGTAACATTATATATTCCCCACTGAAAACAAAACAAAAAAAACTGCCCACTGTAGCAACTGGTTGATGGTGAGATATATGTATAAACTCTGCATATTTAGGACTTCAGCCCTTTAGGGCAAGTAGGAAAGGCAGGAGAAAGGGAATTATGCTTTTTATACCATGTTTATACCAATTTTATGGAAATGTAATGAACCCTGAGGGGAAGTTAACCTCCAGGTCAGTGGTTCAAAGCCAACAGCCTCTTCAAAGGAGAAAGATGAGGCTGTCTGCTCTCATCAAGACTGACAGCCTCGGATACTCTAGAGAGCAGTTGTACTCTGCCCTCTGTGGCAGCTAGGAGTTAGAACTGACCTGATGGCAGTGGGTTTTTATAGAAATGTTGTTTCATGAAATTCAAGCTTGATGGGGGTTTTCATCTGACTCAGTTTTCCACTAACCAGAATGTTTTAAATACACTGATCTTCAATTCTCTTAAAATATGACAGATTCTAGAAAGGGAAATGTCAATTTTGCAACCCTACCCAAAAGTCTGCCCTCTTCCCTGCTTTTCACTGCTCCGCATTGCTTATCAAAGGGCATGCCCTGTAAAACCAACAAGAGTGTGGGCCAAAAATATCTACAAGCAAGCATGTCTTCATTGCCACCATTTGGTTTTTCCCAACAAATAACTGATAATTTTCCATACTGTAGAGCTAGTGAGTGAACTTGTAAAAAGCAATTTACACTTAAACATCCAAAGGAAGATCAGTTTTCTCTGTGTGTTTCTCTCTCTCTTTAGGGTAACATTTAAGCCATCCTGAATGTATGGTACTTGAAGAACTCAGAGTTCCAAAACTGGGAATAACTGTGGTTTAGATTCTAATACATTATAAAATTGTATGGTTTCACATGCAGATATATAAACTGTGCCCTTTCCTGGCAAGAGTTCCACACAAGAGCTATTTAGAGTTGAGGAGCTGGGGGCTCTACATTTGCTGAACAACTCAGGAGGGTGTTGATTAGGAAAAGAAACTAGGGAATAAATCTCCACTACTGCTTGCCTTGAAATATTCTTTGAAACTCATGAGGAACATCAAGAACCTTTTTTGCTGGAGTTCTGCTAATGAGATGATAGTATTTTATGAGGTACTATCTCCAGGCAACCTCTACAATCATAAATCATTTGAGATAAAATTACAACTTGTTATGAACCTCTCTGAATACATACCCACAACCCCTACCCACACACACCCCCAATCCCATTGAGCCCTTCTTTAGTCATTGAACCGCATATTCTTGTCTGATATCCTCCTTTCAAGGTGCTTTTTAATATGAATGCCATTTCAGCCCACTAAAGAAGTGCCACCTTTGACCTGCTAGCTGAGGACAAGCAGTTCTGGTGGACAGCAAGCACCAAGAAGAAAACCGAGAAGGTCCTCACTCTTATTGCCTAAAACCTGGGGCATAAAAGAGACAAGAATCTTCCAGGGCAGCAAATTCTACTAAAAGAACTCGAGGAGTGACCACAGCAACAGTGCTTCGAAGTACCTGGGACAGACAGCCAGCACTCCAAGGCTAAGAATCCCAGAGGGAGCAGGGGGAGGGTGGAGCTGGAAAGGAGATGCTGGAGGGAACCTCAGGGATCCGGCAGAAGGGGTGATGGGGATGAGGCAGGATACCAAGGCAATGAAGCAGAGAGGGTCACAAGGATGGGGCTGGAGGGGACCACAGCGTTAGTGCTGGATGGGAGGCCAGGGTTGGGGCAGAAGGAGGACAGGGTGGGCAGAGGGGATCCCAGGGTTGGTGCTGGATGGAAGGGCAAGGACGGGGCAGATGAGGGACAGGGTGACAGGGGGGTCCACAGGGGTGGCACTGGATGGAAGGGTAAGGATGGGGCAGAGCCGGGACAGAATGAACCACAGGAATGACGATGGGCTGAGACTGGGATGGGGTTGGGGAAACGCAGGGATGGAAGGGGCAGGAGGGGGCAACAGGGATGGGCATTTTCAGCCAAGTCGTCGCCTCCTGCCGGGGCAGTCAGCGCGCCAGAAGCAGAGCCGGGGACTTTGGGACGTCCTCTCCCGGAGCGCCCCCATTGCAGGGACCGGACCGCCGAGGTCCGCCGGGCGCGGGGGACGGGCGGGAAGCCGGTACCTGGGCTCTGGCAGGACGATCTTCTTGCTGGCGCGCGCGGCCGGCGTGGCCTTGCTCTTCTCCATGGCCATCAGGTAGCTGACATCGGCCAGCACGGCCTCCAGGTCCGCCATGTTGGCGCGCGGCGGCGGAGCGCGTCCCGTCCGCTTCCCTAGGAGCC